GGCCACCTCCCGGATGACCGCGGCGGCAGCGGCTTGGGATAGCACGCCGCCAGTGTAGCGGGACATGTCCCAGACCTGCGACGGCGGTGCCGTACGGATGTATATGCATGACTTCTTAAGGGTTCAGTGCCGTACCCAGTGGTCAGGGCGTTGTTTCAGTACTAGAGTCAGTGGGAGGTTGTATAGGAGGCAAGGGAAGCTTTGTTGAACGATGGTAGGGCAGGGCAGGTGTGCCTGCTTCCTTCCTTTCCCTTCCCTTCCCCTCCTCCCAGTGGAAGTGGAAGTGGAAGTGGAAGCGGTCCCACCTTGATGATCCCGCCGCTGTCCCCGGTGGCAATCCTCGTGTTGTTGCCGTCAAGTGCCAGAGACTGAACAGTCTCCCCCTGCGCCAGCAGTAGCAGCAGTAGCAGTAGCAGTCGCAGTCGCAGTAGTAGTAGCAGCAGTAGCAGTAGCAGTAGCAGTCGCAGTCGCAGCAGCAGTCTAGGTCAAGAAAAAGAGACATTCCAAAGTGGGCCTGCCATTGGTAGGTTTCAACCCATATTCCATCCCTCCACACCAGTACACACACACACACACTAGTACACACGCACCTGTCGGTGTCCCGTGAAACGCTCCGCCAGCATCGTACCGTCCAACACGTCCCACAGCCGCAACCACCGGTCAGCCCCCACCGCTACCAGCACGCCACGAAGCCGCCCGCCGCCGCCGCCGCCCGCCGACGCGCCCGTGGCCCCCGCTGCCAGGAACGCCAGTGCCTCCACCGCGCGCTCGTTGGCTGGTCGGGACGCGGTGCCGGGGGCCTGCATGCGGCGCTTGGGAGCGCAGGAGTCCATATTCCAAACCCACAACTCGCCATCGTCACTCGCGGTAACAACGGTGCTGCTGCCCTCGAGTGCCACCATGGCCAAGATGTCAGCCTGGAAAAGGAGCCGGGCACGGGAACGCGGTATCAGCGGGTTGAGTGTGCGCTGGAAGTTGGGAAGTTGGGGAAGGGTGCGGGCTGTAGATGGACAGGGGGAGAGGTAAAGGCCTTGGCGGATGTGAAGCGGACGGCGGAGATGTGCCACATTCATACATTCATGCATTCATTCATACATACTACACACGCGCGGAATGCAAGACACGCAGACAGGCTTACGAAGTGCACGTGCAGCCGCGCACATACACACACATACACACACATACACACACATACACACACATACACACACATACACACACATACACACACATACACACACATACACACACATACACACACATACACACACATACACACACATATACACACATACACACACATACACACACAAAGCGAGACGCACCCCTACCTTGTGACCCGCCAACGACCTGGACGGCCCCACCGACTTGGCGTTGTTGTCCTCGTAAAACGTGATACACCGGTCCCAGCCTGCCGCCAGCACGTAGCGAGTGAGGGGGCCCCGCAGCGGCACCAGCGCCGTCACCTCCGCCTTGGTCTTACTGACCAGGTGGCTGAGACAGGCGCCACTGCTGAAATTCCAAATCTGCACACAAACACAAACACACAAACACACACACACAAACACACACACACACCCCAGTGGGTCAAGTTAGGTGGCCCTGGCCAGCATCAGGCCCGGATCGATGTGTAACAGAAACACACACACTCACACACACACAGAGGGATGAGGTGAGGTGGGGTGGGGTGGGGTGGGGTGGGGTGGGGTGGGGTGGGGTGGGGTGGGGTGGGGTGGGGTGGGGTGGGGTGAGGTGAGGTGAGGTGAGGTGAGGTCGGGAATCATACGATGCAAGGAGCAAAGTAATGCGTTTCGTGCTGGGTTAGGCTTTGGAGGGAAGCCCTCCTCGCTCTTGCCGGTTGACTCAGAAACGGACTCAGAAACGCCGCGTAGGTCGCACCTTGCAATCGCCGTCCTCAGCGCCCGTAATGAGCCGCCTCTTGGCTGCGTCGAAGGCCAGAGAGGTGATCCGCTTATCGCCGTGGCATTGCAGGAAGCGGTAGCGCAGCTTGCCGGTCGGAACATGCCTGCATCACCACCACCACAACAACCACAACCACAACCATCACGACAAAAGCTGAGAGAAATGGGCAAGAGGACGGCAAGAGGAAAAGAAAAACAAAAACGGGTAAGACCGCCGCGGGCTATTTCAGCCCGGTAAGGAGGAGGAGGAAGACCTCAACCCGAAAACGGGCAAGGACGGCAAGAGTGGGGTTGGGGAGCTTGGCGGGAGAGAAGAAAAAAAGGAGGGAGAGGTATGTGCCGGCACAGGGCACAAAGCGGGAGGAGGAGGTGTTGTCAAGCAGGTGTTGTTGTCAAAAAATAAGGGTCGAGCTGGTCGTTGTCATGTGGCACTGTGACGACGACGAGGAAGCACCGGGTGATGGCCTCAGTTCCTGAGTTTAAGAGGTCTTTTCAATGGTGCGTGTGTGTGTGTGCGTGTGTGTGTGTGTGTGCGTGTGCGTGTGTGTGTGTATGTGTGTGTGCGTGCGTGTGTGTGTGTGTGTGTTCTTAAACAGCGCAAGGGCGTTGACCCCCCCCGACAACAATTCCCCTTCCACTTCCTTTCCACTTCCCGCCACGATGCTACCCACCACACGCTGACTGTGCCCGCGTGATCCGCGGATATGGCCTCGCTGAAATTGGAGTTGTACATCACCCGGGTGACCGCCGCGCTGTGAGCTTGCGTGGCGCCCGCTCCTGCCGTGGTCATCTTCCACACCTGTACACGCGCCGTAGGCCGCCCACAGCACACACGCACACACAGAGCACACACACAGAGCACACACACAGAG